TGCTACTCCTATCGTAGCTCGTCCCTCCGCTAGTGCTTGCAAAGGGGGCACCAATGAGCGCACCTCCAGCACGCCGTACAGTGTCGAAGCGCGCATCGCGCAGTGAACTTTGCGTCCAAATGAAAAGAATGAGAAGATCCCTCCTCGTCTGCTCTCTCCATCCTCCCTTGGCCGCCTTTCGCAGCTACTCAGTCACGCCCCTTTCAAAGTAGTCTTTTCATTCGCCATGCTTGCTCCGTGCACATTCCTGTCATCGCGCGCTCTGTATTCCCGCCCCTGGTTCGCGACCGAGAACGTTGTGTATCATGGCGGTGCACGCTTCAGTTGACGGCGAGCATCTAGTTCAATGTGACCTCTCGATGCCTGTACATTGCTCCCGGTACATCCTCCTGCGAACCGCTCTTTCCTTGAGCGCACTCCAGTTGGAGTTGTGGACACATGGCATGCTCCCCCTCCCTGCCCCGTCTGGTTCTCCTCTCTTCCGCTTCGCCGCTCACCCACCTGCATTGCCTCTCCCAATCAGACTCCGGTACGACATTGAGTACGCCGCGCACGCCTTTCCTCCCTCTCCTCAGTCGTGCTTCCGGGTACCAACCACCGCCAGACTAATCTGTTGCGTTGCGTACACCTTGCTCGCAGTGTCCCCCCTCTTCGGGCTTTGGTCCCTTTATATGCTGTCAGCGTCGTCCTCGTAGCCCACACAGTCAGGACCGCTGGTACCAGCCGCAAGCAAACCCCAGGCCTAGAGAAACTAGTAGCCCGGGCGAGTCGTTCGGTCTGATCTCCAACTCGTGGCCCCCCCAAGGAGTAAACAGAGCCCCCTTTAAATTCGAAAGCTTGGTTGCAGTAGTTCAGTGCCTCAATTGGTCCAGGCATATTAAAGGCTCGTTGAGCGTCTGACGCAGTCTGATAACCACGACAACCATGCTAGGTACAGTCCCTTTCCATCGAATTGTCGAGTGGATCCGTGATAGACACACCCGGTCCAGACCGGATTCCCAATTAGGATCGAGTCACACTAGTGCTGCAAGTGCGGAAAGATTTGAAATAGGGCTCGGTCTGGGATGTGCAGAGCCAGCACCGAACCAGAATGAATAGCTTCAATTTTGTAGCCCGCCTGTACCCTCACCAACCAGTTCGATGTCGAATGTCGTATAATACAACAATCATCGCGGGAGTACCGTACCTGTTCCGAACCAGTGTACCATGCCTGTTCCGATCTAGGAGTCGTACCATACCAGTGCGGAATACCGTATCGTGCCGCGATGAACCATGCCAATACCAGACAGATATCCATTTCGAATCAATACAAAATTATGACAGGACGCTGCAGATGAACAATGCCGATATCTTGAACTGATGAACGCACCGTATCAATCCCGAACCTCGAAAAGAACCTGAATAGGCCGCAGCATGCCGTCGCAACACCAACCTGTACCGAACCAAATATACAATGCCGCAACGTTTCCGAACCTGAAAACAAATTGCCGCCAAAGTTCCAAACCTGGAATAACTGTCGTAGTAGCCCCGACCCTGAGAATAGATCACCGTACCTGTCCCAAACCTGAAAATAAGCCACCGTAGTCAAACAACTGTCACCGGGCCTATACCGCACATGAAGCACGCCAGACACCGTAGTACGAAGCCACTCCGTAACAACCCTCGTATCCGTACTGAATCAAACACCATAGTCGACCCAAGGTAGCACCACCCCATGTTGTCCATGCGACTCCCGCTCTCAGAACATCCCAAATGCGGTAATGTTAGTAATCAAGCAAACCAGGGAAAGCGACGCAGGGGACCTCGACCATCGGCAGTAGTGAAAACTGTTAAAATCCGGGGGAAATGTCCAATCCGAGGTCAGAACTAATGGCGGGKAATCGASGCGAAAWTAGGCCAATCTCCTAATAATCATGGGTTCCCGTCCCTTTCATCATTTTTCATCATTCTTCCCTTTCCTTAATTCTATTGTTGGAAATAGTAAATTAATCGTAAGATCCCCAAAATAAAATTCGGAGAAAGTTTAAATAAATGGCCGAATTCCTTTTGTTTCTTTTCTCTTTTACCATTTATAATCTTTTTCTATGTTTTTAATTTCATTGTCGGGAACATAAAATAAAAGGGGTATTCCCCCTTGAATTAAATGCCGTAAAAAATAAAAAAATTAAGGGATATTATGTTTTTCCCTTCTCCCCTACTGGTCGTAATTCCTTTTCCCCATCTTTAATTATGGTACTAAAATAGACAAAAATTTGAGCCTCATTTCGACCCCGGTCGTATGCCGCAAAAAATGTGGCTGCGAGGTCAGTTCCCGCGATGCCTCCCCGCGACAAGCCAATCCGGGTTTAACCCTCTGAACGACCGGAAATGACGGTCCGTTGATGTGCCGAGTGCGACCACCCATCTTGCCATCTTTGAGAGGTACCCGTAAGGCTCAGCGCGCCCAAAATCAAGGGCGCCCTGAGCTCCCCTAATTTCCGCTGCCTGGTCTAACCAGAGTACCATCAAAACTCAGACTCGTCTTTGCGCCTAAGTCCCAAAACCATAGATTTCAGGCGGCACACTGCTTGTGGCCGCCTGACAGTTGGCCTGGACCACTTCTCGACGCCCTCGTCGAGCCCTAGCAACTTACGTAAGACGAAGCGGACGAGCTTCAGGGTGATGGTCCGTAAAGGACGCCCACGTCGACGTTCAATTGTCTTATGTTTCAGTTTGTTATGAGTCCTGGGGCTAAGAAGATGCTTCTTGACTCTCCTGTTTCTTCTGGTTTTTGGTCCCGGCACGATCCTCTTTTTCTTCTGTCTTTGCCCCGAGAAGGGTGTCGACCCGCCAGTACGTCTAACGAGAACTCTCCGTCTAGCTCGCTTGAACACGAATAACCATCTTTTCTCTCTTCCTAAAGCTAACTCTTTGACCTTTCTCTTCTCTATTCTTTTCCTTTTCTTGGAACTCTCCCCTGCCTCGAATTGCCTCAAGGGGGCTCCATCCTTCATTATGGCTTTTCCTTTTCCTTTCGGGCTGGTCAGCGATAAGGCGGGCGCGGGCCTGGGCCTAAACAACTTTAACCTAGCACCCGCCACTGGGTCCTTCCACTTAGATCCGTCTAATTCTGCTATCATATATGCACCCCAGTCGAGTGCCTCAACCCCTCTGTAAGGTCCCATCCATCTATTTGCGAGTTTTCCGGTCCAGGTCCTCTCCAGTGCCGCGTCGTAGAGAAGGACCATATCTCCTACGCTCACCCTCTCTTTCCTGATTCGCACGTTCTTATCCCATCTCTCTCTACCCTTGCCCCTTTCCACTACCAGACGATTTGCCGTTGTCTGAGGTTATCTTCCAAACCGTAGGCTATCTGTCTTGTTCGGGCAGCTAAGAGTTCCTCTCTGGACATCTCCTCCGCCCAGTCGACGGTTGTCCAACTGTCGACGTGAAACTCTATGGGAAGCGGACAATGTCGCCCAAACCACAAGGTGGGTATCCGGTACTAGCCCGGACCATGACGTTGTCCGCCCATATTGCGTATCTAAAATATCGTGGCCAATCACTGTCCTTACCCTTGCACCACTTGGATAGTGACGCTATCAGAGTCTGGTGTCCCCTCTCTACTGGGGAGTTCGACTGTGGGTGATAGGCGGTGGCTATCGAAACTCTCGCCCCGGCTCTCCTGAACACGCTCTGAACCTCGTCGGCTAGGAATTTCACCCCTCTGTCCAGCTTCACGACGGAGTAGTCGGAGGACACAGGGGGGTCAAAGGAACCTACGAAAAGGTACGCAGGTTGTACTGGTGGGAAGGACAGTATAAGGACGTCGAGAGGCACTGTAGGACCTGCGAAGAGTGTCAGAAGAGAGCTCTTGTGAAATACAAAGAGCCACTTCATCCATCCTATTCGACCAGACCAGGAGAGAAGGTACACATCGATCTAGTGAAAATGTCGAAAGGGGTAGGCAATATGAACTACGTCGTGAACATACGAGACGATTTCACTGGGTTCGTGGACGGTAGACCTATCAGGAGTAAGGCGGCAAAGGAAGTAAAGAACTTTGTCCTAGAGTACTTATCTAGGTATGGTTGTGTCAGCACAGACTACTCATAAGGGCATCCCCGAGCCGTTCGGCCTTCGAAACAGATGGCCAGCTCTAAGGCAGTACTGGGCCGCTTGTCTCCGGATATCTGATTCTTGACTCTCCTTTCTTGACAAATGTAGCCCGATCATTCGGTATTTTCCCTCGTAAAGGTTAACCAGAAAACGCTCGGTGGGTCCTAGCTTCGCCATAGTCAGGGCCCCAACTACTATCGGGCGCTCGGCCTCAAGAGGGATGCGCGAAAGTCCATCTGCCACTGCATTTTAAGTGCCAGATATCCTCTCAACCGTGTAATCGTATAGCCGAATCCATATTAACCATCGGACGATGGTCGAGTCCGTCAGACTAAAGTCCTTCTGGAGGACAGAGGCAACCGCGGTGGGGTCTACTCTCAAGATGAATCGTCGCCCATAGATATAGTGTCTGAACGTGTCTAGACACCGGAGAACAGCTAACACTTCCTTCTTGAATTGACTGTAGTTACGCTCAGCCGTATTAAGTGTCCTACTCTCAAATCTTAACGGTCTTCCTTCCCTCCAGCGTCCTTCTGAGACAGCAAACCACCTATTGAACATGGTCCAACATCCGTGGATACTATGAAGGGTCTCTCGGTCTCATCGTCAAAGAACGGCACGCCCAACAGGCGTCCTCCCTCCTTAAATTCGTCTTTAAGTTCTTGCATAGCGAGTTCCTGCGAAGAATCCCGGTAGAATTTTTCAGTCTTTTGAAGGAGTAACCTTAATGGCTCAGCCTTCTCCGCATACCCCCGTATGAATATACACCAGTAACCGACCACTCCTAGAAACTGTCGGACCTCGGTTGGGCTATGTAACGGTGACGGTCAGTTCAGAATTTTGTCTAACTTCGCCGGATCTGCTCGACGCCCTCTCGAGTCACAGATAAAGCCCAAGATCTTAATAGTCGAGACGTTCCATCGGCTCTTTGTTCCGCTGACTGTTAAATTCGCATCGTCCAGCTGCTCGAGTACCGCGCAAATATCTGTTAGGTGCTGCTCGACGAATCTTCTAACTCCAGGTACAACCTCTGTCTCATCCCTGTCTACTGGCCCTTTTATAAGAAAGTCATCCAGAAAAACTTCAACCTTAACAGGGATGAAGTCCTTGAGGACGGCTACCATGGCTCTCTGAAAAACGGCTACCCCATTAGTCCAACCCATAGGGACAACCATCATTTGTATTAGTCTCAATGATGTATGCATAGCCGTGAGGTGTCTGTTCCTAGGGTCAAGCGGTACCTTATCATAACCTGAGAACAGATCACAGACCGAATAAATCGACCTACCTGCGACGCCTTCTACCAATAAATCGGCGTGTGGCACGGAGCCCACGTCTCGTATCGTCACCGCGTTAACCTTCTAGGTCCTGGATCCATCGGATCTTGCCATTCGGCTTTCGTAGGAAGAACCAATGATTAACATAAGCACTATCAGACGGCTCCGCAACGTGGGAAACCATCTTTTCTTTGAGGAAAGCGATAACTTCTTCCTTTTCCTTCTGGGCGTATTTCCATCCTGCGTCATTCCAAGGAACATGTGGAATCGTGTAAATCCTCGCTGGCTTAGCGTATCGAGGGTCAATCCTACCGCGCTCCGCGTCGCTAAAAGCTATTGCTTTATCACATGTCTTCAGTATTTCTATCACACGTTCTCGCTCTTGTAGGGTCAGATTTTCATCTCCGATGTCCATCCCTGCTATCCTCTCTTCCGTTAGGCGTTGTGGCTCCTTTTTCTTTTTTTCTTTGATTTCCTTCGCGATCTCTTCTTCCGATATCCCTTCGAGTGCAGATCGCTCGCAGCCCACCGCCGCTGGCTTAACGTTTTGAGCTACTCGCTTGAGTCGCTTGGGTAGCCCCCCATAGGGGGCCGTGCCCTTAAAAATAACACGGATACCACACTGCCAAATTCCTCATCTTTTTCCTTTGGGTACGAGTTGCCGTCCACTATTAGCCGACTCCCTAAATCTTCCACCTCCACGATCCGACCTTCTTCCTCTGTGAGCAGTGGTCCATATTTCTTCTCGCGAAATCGCACCGCGCGGCCGGAGATAGGTAACGACTTAATCTGATCACTGGGTCTCACACCCACAGCGAGAGCTGCTCTGTTCCTTGGGTCCCGAGGCTCCACTGTCTCAATGATTACTCGCGTCCCGTCTGGCTTCCTAATGGACAATGTTTGGCTCACATCAGGTCGCTCTATCGTTACCGCATGCACGTGGCTCAGCCACGTTTAACCCAAGAGCAGGTCGGAGTTGCAGTTTTTGACTGCAAAGACAGGCAGGGTCACTCATACCCCTTGGACCTCTATGGCTGCCTTGTGACAAACCCCAGTGATCTGTTGCTTTCTCCCATCAGCCGTCTCTATCTCGAATAGGCACGGCCTATCGAGGCCCAGTCCAACCTGTACTGCCAGGTCCTCGTCTATGATGACAGCTTCATTGCCGTTATCGATCACAGCATCTAGTACCGCTCCATCGTTTATAATCGTCTCCACGGCCCCGCTACCAAGTATATAAAACTTGTCTGGAGGCACACCTTCCATTCCATCGAGAAGGACTGTCGCCATGCGATCCGCTCTGGCAGTCACCCCCGTTACTGCTTCTGTAGGAGCTTCCGCCTTAGGGGCCCCCTGACCCTCCTCCGATAGAGGTATGCGAGTCTTCCGCGTGATCATCTGTAACTCATCACGAGCCGGCTTCGATGCCGCCAGGTACTCGAGAATAGAGCACTGCATGGGTTGCCGAAGGGCCCGCCTCAGTGGCTCGACCGTGTCAATCTCGTCCAGCGAACTCTTCATTAAGAACTTCTTCACTCCCCTCTTTCGCGGCGAAAGGATAACCTCCTCTCCATTGACCTGCTGCCCGTCCTTCTCCGTCATCACGTAATCCGTGTCAGCCTTCTTCGATGTAGACCCTTTCGCCGACTTGGTGGCTGCCACCCTTATGGGTGTAGTCGCCATATCCCCCTCGAAGGTTATCTTGATGCTCTGGGTCCTGACCGGATCCTTTTCTTTACTCGGCTTTACTCTCCTTGCTTCGACATTCTCCTTCATCGAAGGGAACGTCGATACATCTCCCAGACCATCTGCCCACTTGATGTACTTGCGGTCGTCAAGCACGACAAGTCCCTCATCTATTGCCCGTTTGAGGTCCGGGCAATCCCTCTTGATATGATCTTCTCCTCTACAGTAGACGCATGAGTTCCTGGGAGTAGATGGCCTGTCGTCTGCGCTTCTCGAGATCGAACTCCTGGCTGCCTTGGGGTCAGGCGACTTGGGATATGGTTCGGATGAGACGCCATATCCCCCTCTCTCATTCCGACCGCGCGAATCGTTGCGGCGGTCTCCTGAGTCATATCGCCCTCGTGTCTCATCGCGTCGGTCCCCTCGGTTGTACAACCCCCGCGACTCATCGCGCTGCTCTCTCGTATCTCCCTCGCGCTCAAACCGTCCGCGCGACCCATCTCGTCATTCCCAGTCCCGATCTCCTCTTTCATACCTACCACCTCTATAGCCATCTCGACCCGACCTCTCGTATATGTCGTCCCTATACCCGTCTCGGTCCGATCTCTCGTATCTGTCGTCCCTATATCCATCTCGGTCCGATCTCTCGTATATGTCGTCCCTATATCCATCTCGTCGGCCTTGATCTGTCTCCCATCGGCCGCGGGAGTCGCCTCTACCCCGATCGGCCTCATAGAGAGGGCTTCGCGGGTAATCATCCAGCCTCCTTGCTCGCACAAACGGCTCGCGATCTCTGCGGTCTCGGTCTATCTCATCGTCCCTACGTCGCCATGGCTCATCGTCTCTTTCTCTTCCCCTCGTACGATAATCAGTCAGCGTCCGAGGATTTCTATCCTCTACACTCCTCCAGGAATCGTTGTTCCTACGGTCCCAGCGAAGTGAATAGAGCCCTCCAGGCTTGTCTCGGTAGGCCGTGACCCCTGTAGTGGTCATAATCTCTATTACCTTTGTCGTCAATCCCTTCACCATGTCCCGTATCTCCTTCACTTCCTCAGCCACGGCCTCATTCTTCTCCGACCAGGGATAGTCCTTGAAATCACGACATCTATCAGTGACATACTCCTTGTAGAGAGAGAAGTCACGTCTCCTCATCCCTCTCCACACCAAGTCCTTGTAATCGTCTGCCTCTGCCTTTATCGCGAGCTTTAGGACTTCTCGGAAATCAAGCCTGTCGCGTGGAAGATCTCTAAGTATACTCTTTTGCCTACCTTTGRACAAGTGTCCGATGAAGATAGTACAGCGCTCGACCTCTGAGATCTTCCCCTTCTTCATTAGCACGTCGGAGATCTTCTGAAAACGCATCCCAAATGCCCGTACGCTCTCATCTTCATCTTGAGTCATTGTTTCAAGGTCCTTGATGAAAGACTTATTATCCTCCAATTTGTAAAGCTCAACGAGGTTCTTCTTGTACGTAGTCCATTTTCCATCCTTCGGTCGAGCTTCCTTAACTTCCCTACCGAGACTTGGGTCCACATTAAATAGGAAGTTCTCTATAATCTCTTCCTCCGACCACTGACTTCGGCTAGCGTGAAGCTCCCACTTCTCCAGATATTCTGTGATACCATAGCCCCTGAAGGCAGGAGACTCTGAGGTCTTGTGCGTAATAAATTAGCGATCCTTGCTCCAGTAGCGAATGTGACTCCCCTTTCTAGAGGTCGAAGACTCGCGTGGGCGGCGCCCTGTCTCTATCTCTGTCCCTCCAATAGGAATCCCTCAAACTCTCTCTCTCTCTAGTCGTGTCTGTGCCTGTCCGCTATGGTGTCCCTCCACTCGTACTCGGGGGAGTGTCGCCTCGTCGCTTCTCGTCGTTCGGTCGAGGTACCCGTCTTTAGAGCCTCCTGCGGCTCTGTCGCAACTGGTTCGCCCCTTACGTCGGGCCCTACGTCATTGGTTTGGTCAGCCCATCTCAGCGGTGCTTCTCACCTAATTCGTTCCTTCAGATCCCTCAGAGCTCGATCGGGCGATGTCCTGTACTCCTCTCCCGCTTCACTCGTGGTCGGTTGTGGCCCCATCGTGTCGGGTTCCATTGGACCGCCAGAAGATGCAGTTAGGTATTCTAACCAACTATTAGAGCCCGACCCTATGACAGTCGCTGCAGCCCGGACCTGTGACAGTTACGGCAGCCCGGACCTGTGACATTTGCGGCAGCCCGGACCTGTTACAGTTGCGGCAGCCCGGACCTGTTTCCTTATCACGGCTCGCGTCCGCCTCCAATCTTAGCTCTCGACTGCCTTGATTACCACTTCCAGTATCCCGTACCGGTCTCCTCCCGGATCGGCCAACAAGGCTGTGCCTCTCCGGATCTGCAGTACACCCGTGACATGACCTCTATCCTTGAGACAGATCGCAGTCCCAAACCTAGCCAATGTCTCCTGATCAACACCCCTTAAGAGTCTCCGAGCGTCTATCTCCGTCCTCCTTGCTAATTCTCCTAACCCTGTCCTGAATCGGTTAGCCCGCTAAAGGCCCTCCTACTGCCATCCAAAGTCGCCCATCGACCTTTCTAGCTTCCACTATTCTTCCAAGAGCTTCCAATTTATATTTCTACTCCCTTATCTCCCAGACGGCCACGAGGTTATCTGTCTAGCAGCTGAGGTAAGTTAGTGCTATAACCACTTGTAACCTCATCGCCGACCGCTCCAATATGTGATAAAATGTTTCAAAGTCCTCCTTATCTCCACCATCCTCTATCGCCTCTAAAGTCTTTATCGATTTCTTCCAGTACCGGTCATGAGCGGCTAACACCCTGAGTATTACACCATTTGTTACAACTCTCCCTAACTCTCCAGCTTTCCTGGCTTCGCTTATCTTCAACCTCTTAACCTCTCTGGTCGTCTCGAACCATGCCCTTATCCGAGACCGCCCTTCGAAAGGTGTCACTTGAAGTACGTATTTTATCCTCAGTCCTCCTTTTATTCCAATCCAAAGTCCTGTTCCCCTAGCCTCACGCAGCGCGCGGCGGACACACTCTGCCTCCTCAACTATGCACAGTCTGGTATGGAGCTGGGGTTCTATGATCACTAACACTAATGGTCCGTCCAGTCTCCCTACCACATGTAATGAGTACCGATCCGTCGTGTGTAAAGCAGTCCCGCTCATGTCCTGTCGCTACTTCCCTGCGTTACTTTGTCTTCCGTTGTCTCGCTCTCTGCATATCGCTCACTAGTTTCTTCGCGTGATACGCTTCTCTTTACCCTCTCCAGAAAATTTGATCTCCACGCCTGGATAATCTCTCTTTCCTCCCTAAACAGATTCTCTAACTGTCTCGTCACGAGTTCAGCCCTACGCAACTTGCCCTCGTCCTGGCACGACCAGATCTCCCTTAACTTGTTCTCGAACTTCTTTACCTGGTTCAAGAGTGGTTTTTTAACGCGCTTTCTCACTCTTCCGACTGCCTCACTCTCCTCTTTCATACTCAGTCCACATATTTTTTCAGCTCATTCTCTCACCCTCGCTCTAGCCTCCGCTACCGTCTCATTGTGGTAGTGCTCCGCGCGCATATAACCATGAGACCATATCATCACATTATAGGAAATCGAGGTCTGGAAGGTCACTCGCGCCAGTACGTCAGCTCTACGCTCGTGGATCAAATCCCTGGCTCGTTGTCTGCACTCACTCGCTGTCAAGTCCTCGTCTACGTACGCTCGGAGAAGTATTGTCACAGTGTATCCTGCGCTTACCAGTTGCTCTCCTACACGCATCACTGTGGCCGTCCTTTCTGACATTCCTTAAGCTGCGGCCTCGAAGAGAAATCTCACATCCTCTAGCCCCGCGAAATCGATCTTTGCCCATCTCTTGCAGTACCTAATCAGATCGATTGGCCTCAGACAGTCCACCCAGCTCGTAATGTCTATGATATCGTCAAGCGTCTCTCTACTGGGCGGCCCCCACCTCACACAAATGGCGTACTATACTTCCTTGAAGCGGGGCGCTAAGCCCTCCCAGAGCGAGTAAAGTGTGTGGTCCACTGCTCTTCTCAAACGATCCACGTTCCCATAGGTCTGCCCTATCACGAAGGTAGGAAGTCCGAATCGCCAATCCTCTCTCGGGTAGAGGGTCGGATGTGGTGGACCGTACACCAAGCAGCTCCAACTCGTCCTCCCTCCAGAGAGTCTTGCTAGTTGCTGATTAATGATCACTATGGTCAACGACTCACTTCTCCACCAACTCCTGCTCGCCCCTGCAAGCGTCAGTCCTATCTCTAAATCGTATGCTCTATCCGCTATCAGATGTCCGACCCCTTCTAGATCATGAGTCCTCTCGGGTCGTTCGTCTCGTAGTATCACTGTCCAAAGGAAGAGCCCCTCTGCGAGCCACGTTCCCAAGTATCGTATCGGTACACGCCCTGCCTCTTCTAACGCCACAGGAAGTGGTATGTCATATCCAACCGCCGTCTCTCTGGGTCCCACAAGCTTCCTCACACTATACGATTCGGACTCTCGTGAGAGAACATAAGCTAACCAGGCCACTGAATCACTCCTCATCTCTTCTCCTACTCTTGGTCAGCATCACTCTACTCCCTCTGATGCACCCCATCTCTCGACGTTGCTAACCCTTCAGACAACTCTCGCACTCAGGTCCAGTATGGTCGAGTAGGATCAGTAGCTAAGCTTACTCAACCGTCGCCCTAATGTGCTCCTCTACCTCCTACGCCCGAACTGCTACTCCTATCCTGGGAAAATGGGCGTCTGTAACGTCAATCTCCTCCTCGTCAACCTCACTCTCTGGGTCGACCCAGTCTGGCTCCCACGCGTCCTCGTCGTCCTCTCGCTCCCAACCCTCGTCGTCAAACTCATCCTCGACGCGGTATGGTGCCTGTCCTATACCCTGGTAGTATTGCGCCAACTGATGGCCGTATATCAGAGGTCGCCYGGYGTCCTCACCCCACCAKCTCTCCCAGTCGTCTGAGAAGAGCCGCCCGATGCAGGTCACGTACTCGGGGCCTGCTCGGAGCTCACGGTCTAGCCAATCCCAAACGCACGGAGGCTGTGGCCACTCGTCGTCTATCGAGCGGATCAGCTCTATAAGCTGAACCCTCTCGTCTCCCCAGCGAGGCCCACCGGTTGCGAGCGAATAATAGATGTAGTCTAGGTCGGCAGGCCTTCTCGCCAGGATCTTGAGATCCTGATAGGCCAGGTATGTCTCGACCACTCCACCAATACCTCCAAAGACGCTCTCTACTACGAACGTCGGAACTATCGCCCGCAGGCTCYTAACGCTGTACGGGAAAAACCCGTCCCGTGCTACCACCAGCTCGCCCRTGATATCAAGAGGAGGGCGTCCGTGAAATAGGGTMAACGGGTCGCTCGAGTCCTCCRCTCGGAAGGCAGCTACCTCTTCCCCTAGGTAGCGTAACGCCCTGCTAACTRTGYCACTCGTCCCTGTCGTCGCGAGGCSCACCAYGGYCTCCCTGACCGCACCTGGTCCCAAATACAAGTAGGCTCTCACTACGCCCACTCCTTGCCMCGRCCGGTGCTCTYTGTACGTCCAARGCCACACGTCCTCGSACAAGATTAWGGACCTYCACGCAAAMTGGCCGTCAACGTGTCGAATGTTGCGCCCGGGGATCGTGAGCTCGACCAGATCCCCCTCTATGAGTTCAGGGGGCTCCAAGTCCCAGTCAATGGTAGCCCCATAGACCTCTACTTGCACCCGCGGCCACATTCAACTGGCGGCTAGAGAAAACGCAGCAAGAGGGAGGTGTAGATTAATAACTGAAAATTCCGGTCGCTTGCCTCACGCCTTCGGGAACAAGCTACTAGGTTCACCCGAAACCAGGTTACCTCAGCGTCTCTTTCCCTTCTTTTTCTAGGGAATTCTTTTGTATTTTTCAATTATAAATTAAAAAAAATGTACTTAGTTAAGATAAAATTTCTTTCTTAGTTTATATATATTAAGGATCAATACATATATAAGCCCGCCGAGTTTGATGATTTTTAGGGGTAGAAATAAAATTTGGGCAATTTACTAAAATTTCGACAGCGTTTCACCTCCCCCCGTTGGGATGGGGTTCAGGCGAAGCCCTCAGACAGCGCTGCCGAAGAGGGAATATCAAAAGGAATAATGAAAAAAAAAAAAATTGATTTAACTCGATTTAAAAATATTTTTGTTAATTAATTAGCAAAAATTTAAATTAAAAGGAAAATTTTGAGAAATTTCGACAGCAGTTTTCCTCCCCCCCCGGTGAGATGGGGTTCCAAAAAAAGTCCCTCAAATAGGTAAAGTAGATATGAAGAGCATTGAAGTCAAACAAATGCCCCTACGCAATTTTTAATATTTATTTCCATTTTTTTATCGATTTTAAATAACAAAATCAAAAGTTACATAATTCTTAATTATTTAATAGGGCAAAACTTTCCGAATTAATTTCCACAATCTTATGGGATATATTTGACAAAAAAATAATCCGTAGCAAATGCGGAAGCTAGAAGCTATGGCTTCCCTCTATCTACCCGCTTCTCTCAAAATTGGGGTTAGGACTTCACCCTAATTAGGGTTTCCCCTAATTAGGGTTTTGGGTTTTGTGCGCAACCGCACCAACACCCCAAATCCCTGCTCGACGCGAGAAAATTTTTGTTAGCTTTCACTAGTTTTAGAAGAAAAACTTATTGGATTACATTTTTAATTTTATTTTTTTTTTAATTTAATCAAAATTACAAAGAAATTCAATTTTTCGTTGTTTTTCTTCCCCCTTTTCTATCTGTTGGAGCTCGCTTTTTGTCCAAACGAACTCCGTTTTCCCCGACTAGGGTCTTAAAATGTCGGGAAAAATACAGCGACCAACTTTGGTCCACCGGGGTTCCCCTAATTTCGCTTATTTTCCCGACCATTTCAATAAAACGAAAATTAAAATTTTTAGAATTTTTAATCAAAAAATACAAAAAATTCCATATCTCGTTTTTTAGCCGTTCGAATTTCTCAAAAAATATCTCAAAACGTTCGCCTCGATGAAAGGACGAACTTTGCTCCGGCGCACCTCGCACGAAAGCACGCGGATCAGGAGATATCGGGGAAAAAACAATTAGGAATTTTAATTCATGATTTTTGGGAATTTTTAATAAAAAAATACAAAAAATTCTATATTTTTTTTTCTAGCCGTTAGAATTTTTCAAAAAACGTCTCAAAACGTTCGCCTTGACGAGAGGGCGAACTTTGCTCCCAGCGCAGCTCGAGCAAAGGCTCACAGATCGGGAGATATTTCAAAAAAAAAAAAAAAACTAAACCAAAATGATTATAAAAAATAAAACTAATCAAGAAAACAAGCTAATTAATGTTTGACTAATCATCCCGTGCACCCCCGTTGGTTGGGGAAGGCCGCGGCCTTGGGGGTGCTGCTCCCTTCCCCGGCAACGGCGCCAAAGTTGCGGGGAAACCAGCGGAGGGGCTACCTGCTGCTCGCGGAAGCCATGAGCCACGGCGCCTTTTACTTCGCCACGCTCGCTTCAGAGGTTCTCTGCGAGCAGCGGGGATGTGGGCAGAAGTCGCCTGGTCACGATGCCTGATTTTCTACTCCCTTTCTTCTTTATTTGATAATTTCCCACTTCAAAGAGTTTCGTTCAGTTAACCGTTAGATCAACAGGTTCTGACAATGATAAATCTCACTAGTCAAACAGTGAATCAGCTGGTCCAGACAGCAATGATCTTCGATGGCCAAGCGATTTAACAGCTRGTTCRGCGAAGTTCATTAGCTTTCCRTAAATCASCCAGTTCCGTTAACAATGAGTTACAAAGACCAACCAGCATTTTGCTCGGTTYTGACAACAATGGACTTCATTCGTTCTTCCAACTGATYGGCTGGATTAGTCAACAACGAGTTTTCAATGGCCAACAGGGTAAACAAGGGGTTTACAGTATGATGAGTTTTGATGTTCAAGCAGTAAACCTGYGGGTTCGAAGAGCAATGAGTCCCGACTGCTTACTTGCTGTTCCCCCTCTTCCTCTCKTGTGCTGCTCTTTCTCGCCGTTTCCTCTCTCTGTTGTCTCTCGCTCTTCTCATTCCCTGATCCCCCTCTCTCTCTGGCACTCAGTCCRCTCTCTCTCTCTCTCTCTTTCAAAAGCAAACTGACCTCGGTCGGCAAGGCTGCCAACACTTCTCGCKTTTCGAGCTTCAAGCCTCAGCCTCCCCTGCCAACAGGTGGATTGCACACGAATT